AGTGGTTAAGCGCTCATCCGCGAGACTGATATGTCCTGAGTTTGAATCTCACAGTGAGTGAAATCGTGGATAAGCACTGTTGAGCAGTCCTGTAGTGTCGGCTATTATGTTAAGCCTATATATCTTATTCTATCTTTCGGACAGCCCATTCTATTCATCCTACTTGAGTCACATTCTCACCTTGTTATTTATTCGCTTATCAATCTTGACTGTTTTTATATGAGCGCGTAGGTGTGTCTACATTTCTTATCCCATTACTCATCACATGTTTGTAAACTACTTTTGTGTGACTATAAATATTGGTTAATACTTAGTTAAGGGGGAGTTGGCTTACCCACCTTCTCCACTCCACGTAGTTCCTCTTCTCTCTATTCCATTCGCTTCCTACACAAAATATATGTATTGACAAGTCCATTCTCGTTATTCGACCTATTTAATTCCGTTAAAGACTAACGTGATTTAAGTCGATGCTTATATACGAGGATAGGTGACATATACATTTCGACAACGATTACTCATAGGATCAAATTGGAGTAAGATCACGGGCCACTAAAGTGAAGAGCCCTTTCGACAACATTGTTCGCTGTAAACTACGACAAAATAAAAGGGCTTCACAGTCCCATATTAAGACGAAACGGTCATCCAGTGCTTCTAGGTTTTCCATGGTTGTCTAGCTTCAATCGACTCATGATTTCAACTATTGACATTTCTATAATCTTCACAAAACCCCTTCTGATATTTTTTTGTTTGTTTCATGAAATGAATCTTAAACGGCAAATAAAATCATAAACTTTTCTTTTTTCTCTTTTCTTTTTTTTTCTTTCTCCTTTTCTTTTTGTTTTCTAGTGCAATATGATTAGTTGAAGTTATAAAGAAAATGAATTTTGACATTGTATTTTTTCTTTGAAATTAGGTCATACTGAATGAATGAATGAATGACTGTTTTATAAATACTACTTAAAATGAAAGAATTAAGATGAAATAAAGAGAAGAAGAAGAAGAAGAAGAAGAAACTAGTCAAACAATATGGTTGACTTAATTTAATTAAATTAAACTGTGAAGTCTTATATATATTAGAATGGAAATACTTATCCAATGCTTTCACAGATTTTTTTTTCTAAGGTGGTCTAATTGTAATCTAATCATAAATTTAATTCATTTCTTTAAAAATTCTTATTTTGATCTTAATTAAGTTTGTTTTAAATTTAGATACTACTTATTTAGGAGTTGATTGTATTACTATATATCATGAATACATAAGAAAATTGGTAAGTTAATCGAATGTTAATTAAAAGTGTTAATAAACTAACTACACAAGTTATGATGTTGTTTTTCTTGTTTGTTTGTTTGTTTTTCAAAATGTTTGAAGAGTATTTGGACAAAACTCTAATCTAATCTAAAAGGTTGATAGATATAAATTATGGTAACAGTGATGAATGAGTGAATGAATAGCTATTTGTTTAACATATAAATTATATTATATTATAAACAATGATGAATAGTGTCTCGTAGTGGAATCCATGAACATGCGTTTTGTCCAATGTAGGACTCATCAGCTGAATGTACCTCAGAGTTGATGTTCACTGTAGAGCTCGAATCCAATACCGTTCGCTTCAAACGTTTCACTATCTTTGCCTATAATACTTGTGAATTAAGACAATATCGAGGCAATCCGTATAGGATGTACAAATACATATAATAGACTGATCAATTGCAGTTCTAAACATCAATAGAAAGTTTCAAGTAAACAATACCAAGTGAATGAATATGCATTGTTTTACTGCTTAATAATTATACAATAATAGTATATGTATAGTATTAGTCCATAAATGGATCCCAACAGTTACCATCCACTATTCTTATCATGATAATATATATGAATGTGGGGAAAAATAGTTATCCTTCAAATGAAAACTACAAATGTCAACAATCTATAAAACTCTCCTCTCCCTATACTTTCAATGATTCCTAAAACAAGAAAAATGTTCCAAAGACATTTACAGCCTAATTTAAACAATGTACGACAATGAACTCAAAAAATTTGTCTTATTATCATCATCATCATCATCATAATTAATTCTTGTGTACTTTTGTGGCCATATATCTGACTCTTCTATTTGATCGTATGATTGATTGCTATTGAGATACACATGTCGCTAATCCTCGTACATAATTATCGACTTAACTGAGGTTAGTCAATAACAGAATTAAAATAAGTCAAATACAAGAATAAAGTCTTGAATATCTGTCATTCATACAACCGTTGATCTGAACAAACAATCAAGGAAACGGAACTTAAGAAGAGAATAGAAAAAGGTGAATCAAAACAAAATGACACCCAATGGAGGAGGTAAGTGAGCCAACTCTGTTTAACCAAATGTGATTCAATATTTATAGTCAGACAATAATAAGTTACTGATATCTGATGAGTAAGTTAAGAAATATACATACGCTTATATAAAACAGTCAAGGTTGTTAGGCAAATAAGTAACAGGATAAAATGTAACTCAAGTAAAATGAATAGATTGATCTATTCATAAACTAGAACAATGATGTGAACTTGACATATGGTCAGTCAGTACAGTATATTTAATTGAGAAAATCAATTCAACAAAAAGAAGGAATGGATAAACAAAATCGTTTTTTTTTTGAAACTCATCAATTATAAACCCTACTAATATGGTGACAACCATCACGCTGTTTCCAACTTCCATCTTAGATAATAATTATATATTAAAAAATAATTCAGACTATAAGATTTCTGAATTAAAATTTGTAAGGTAGTGAGACTATAATTTATGGACGAACCAATCATGTATAAGATATAGGTCTTGGATTTTGGCGCGAAATTCATGAATCCATTTAGCTTAATAAAGTTTTGACATTATAGCTGATATCAGTTAGTGATGAAAATCCTAAATACAATTCCTAGCCGTCAATTTTTAATCAAAATTCGAAGTCCTCACACAGATTTATAACCCTCATTTAGTTCTATTTATTAAGTGAACAATATCAAGATCAGTCTAGCGTCGTTCAAAGGTCGTTCATAAATTATACTCTCATCTGTACGGTTTTTTTATACAATAAACTTTAATTGTAACATTATTAGTCACATAAACTGAAATTAACAGTAAATATGTTGTAGTATAACAACTGTTAACAAATACAACGACTTTTGGTGGAGTTTTGTTCCTTGAGCTGGATGGTTTTTGGTCGTGAAGTTTTCATCATTCTTCTGAACGACATCATCAGCACAAACTTCAAGTAGAAGTGAAGTGTCAACAAGAACTAATCATTATCAAGGTCTATAGAACAAGTTGTGAGATATATGTGGAGAAGTTTGAACACTTCACTTCTACCTGAACTTTGTGCTGATGATGGCGTTCAGAAGAGAACGATGAAAGCTCGACGACCAAACCATTCAGCTCAGAGAATGAAACTCCATCAAAATCATCCACTGAGCTACAAATCTTCCCCAGCCTCACAGCCAAAACAGATTAGCTTCACCGGTCTCGGTTTCTCAATGGAACTAAGAATTGCCACTAGAATCGAGCCACTCATGTACACATGATAGATATCAGTAAAGGATTATGAGAATTGTTTAGTTTCATTGAGATTTTGAACCGATCAGTGTTAGACGTCCATTTTGTCAGAGTGAAGTTGGTGGAATGTTTAGATTGGTTTAAACACTAAATAATAACTGTTGTCACATGTTTTTAGTCATATAGCTGATAGTCCCAGTGATTTCATACTCCTTGTTTTACGTTCCGACGTAGTATGGTTAGGAGCAGTTGAAACTAGGTTTTATGCTAGATGAGATTCTACATTAAGAGCTATTTATAGTCTTGTGTTAACAAAAGTTTCCTGTGAGATTTCAAGTCTCGCTACCCAAATGTACAGCTCAGGCCGTTACCATCTTGTTATTCGAGTCACAGAAAAGATCATCTATCAGACTCGATAATGGTATGTTATATAACCTAACTAATACAATTGAGTCAACTTAATGACTTCCAACCGAATAGATAACTGTGAAACTGGATGACGACGGTTCAAATCTCTCAGGAGCATTATTATTTACCTCAAGATTGTAGACTCGCCTTAATGATGAATTCAATTTAGCATGAAACTTGTCCCTGAAGTTGTTTATCGACTGCTTTGAATTCATTATAAGTTTCAGCAAAGAGGCATGTTTTAGAAAGATTGTTGAACAATTGAGATTTAGATGGTGGTTGGAGGTAGTCAACAGGAAACCTCAACAGGAAATCTCAATACATAGTGCCCGCAGTGTCGAGTCACCTAGACTGGTGGCCACATTGCAACATGATCGATAGCATTCGATCTGCACTAATAAGGACTAGACAAGCAAGACATTGATCACCACCCAGTGATCAATCAATTGTAAGATTGTTGAACAAATTAAAAATGTATCTTACAATACATAAACATTATGTTGAAAAGTAACAGAATGACTGGCTACATATAATTATTTATTAGTAGAGAGCCATAACATAACATATAAAGAAAATCTAGAGTACTGCATTTCAGTAGAAAAGTTACATAAAAATGAGATATTTGAAATGATTGATGCTGACTAAACAATCGTGAATCGATCCATTTCTGTAGATTATGAGCTATTATCTGACACTAAACTAAATGATGTTGATCAGCGTTTGGTTTCCTGTAGAAGGACCCTTGATGCATTAGTTAAAGGCCCATTATTATTGCCTTCAATAAATATGAGTTATTGAGTTGACATTAAAAAGATTGGCAAACCTACTGAATACTAACTTTTTCATTGAGTCATCAACAACTAGCGGTCTCTTTATTAATCTATAATGAAATCTGCTGTAAGCCTATATAAAGCAGGAGAATATAATCACTATGACTTAAACAAAACTTATAACGTTCTCTTTCTATTAATCAAAGTTGTAAAATACTCACCAGTTTAAAATTATCAGCAATCATACAAAACCATCATATTTCCTCATTCAAACACTAACCTTAATAAATCCAATAAAGAATCCAATGTTTCAGGTCTACGTTCCTCTATTGTTCCTTCCCCTATTTCATCTTTAATTGATGTATCACCTGGATGTATGCATAAAACTAGACCAATACCAAGTATAACTGCAAGCATTGTAGTTACTACATAATAAATCAATGCATATGAACCAATTTTTCCGCTTGATTTTGGATCTAAACCAGCAAGTCCTGAATAAAAACAAAACAAAATCACAATATTAATAACAATGTTCATCAAAATTTATGTGTTGCTTTTGTAACTTCTCTCTCTTTCGCCACATATATATATCTTCTCTGTCTCGGTTTCAACAACTATATATTTCTAGTATGGTGTTGTGGAGATTGCTGAACTATTGATTGACACCATGAACCGATCAGTGTTAGACTACCATTGAAAACCTGGAGGCATCGAACAGCCGTTTCATCCTAATATGGTTGCCCAATTTTGTGAATGTGTTGAAGTTAGACATTAACACCATTGAATACCGACTCAGTGGTCTGTAGGTTAAGTGTTCTAACGTGAGACCGAAAGTCCTGAGTTCGAGTCCCAGGTGTAAGATCGTGGATGCACACCGTTGAGGAGATATATACTAAGAAGAAACAGCCATCCAATGCTTCGACTTTTTAAATGGTGTTATAGCATTGATCAACTCATTATCTTAATCAATAATTATATATATATTAGAGTATACAAAGCATGTTAACTGGTGTTCCATAAAATCGAAAGTAGAAAATTTGAGATTCAAGAACATAGTTCTATTGTTGGCTGCACCAAGATGTGGTTGAATTAGGATATTTCCTAAGGACAATTATTCTCTCTGTCAGTACTATATTTCTACAAAATTGAAGGAAAGTTAGGTATAAACCGTCCTAAAATTAGTACACAGCATTTTAACAACGACATCAAAAGAATGAAGAAAGATTTGGAAATTCGTCGATAAAAATTAAAGAAACGATCATATGTGAACGGTTTCAGGTTTTAACAGTTCAGTGGTCATATGAATATGATTCCTATAACTAAACTAACAGTTTTTTAGATTCTTTAAGAATAATCCTTTTATTATGTACACAATCTGATTATATGCTTAAACTATACAATATTAAAGCCAATTGCATTGATACTGATTGTCTTAAGCATTTTCTTATCTAAAAGTATTCTACTTTAATACTTATCAGTCAGTCAGTAACAACGTAGAACTTCATACGTACGTACATCAGTTCGAGTTGCCATACCACATTAGCACAGAGATGCAATTGTCGATTCAAATCCCGTAGTGGTAGAGGTAATAAGAGTATAAGCAGTAATAGGAAACATTAGGGTTTTAAGATGTCATTCAAAACGTATAATACAAAGAAATAAATTTGGAAAGAGGAAAAAGAGACATGAAGAATTCAGAAGATTAGAATTTGGGAGAACACAAAAAGTGGATGCACCTGCGTCATTGCAAACGATTTTAAGCCATGTCATTCAGGGTCTCTAACCATCGGTTGCTATCATCTCGCGTATCCCAACCAGGTAGTCTAATACTTATCAATTAATTCTTGTATGGTCTGAAATTCATTCACCAGAGATTTGAAAATCAAAACAGTATCTCATACACTTACATCTTTAGTGATTTTTTATTGTTTATTGTTTTAATTGTATTTATTTCTGGTTAACAGATATGAAAAGAATGAATAATAACTAGAAAGAGTTGGAAAAGACTGTTCAGGAAAGAGTTGGATGGACAGTGCTGTTGGGCGGCCTATACTTCTCCACAAGGAGTAACAAATGTAAGTACGTAGTAGTCTTAATTGTATTCTTTTAAGAAATATGATTATGTTCTCAATAGAAATGTACTCACAAATAGTCAGATTAGTTTATGTCTAAATCATATATGCGATTCATACATAGGTATGATATGATTATGTTAAGAGTTAACTTTATATAATAATAATAACATTGCATTGTCACTGATTTATAATTTTAATGAAATCTTTTTCGAAACCAGTAAGATTCATCAATAACAACTATCTGGGTTCAGTAAGTTAAGTGGGTAAAGTGATTTTGTTCTTAAGTGAACAGTACAGAGTTTGAGTCCCGGAACAAACAACTCTAAAATGCTGGTACATCCAATTGATGAGTTCCAAATGGAACGAAACGCGCGTCTTACATTTCACTGTCAGTGACTATCCACTTCTTTTTATAAAGGAGTGAGTATTTTGCATAGTTCTGCTTTCAAATCCTATCCTTTTTATCATTTATTTGGGAACAAATAAAATTTGTCTTTTGTAATTCTAAGTAATCCTAACATCATGCAAATCATTTTCCTGTGTGATTAGCTTATGTTACATTTGTACGGAATCCAGCCAACAGTTTTAAGTTGACTAACTTCGTTTTATCTAGCTCGGCAATGAAACATAATTTTATCTAGAATTTTAACCGATTTACAACTCCAGCATTACAAAAAACCATTATATAGCATATCATTTACATTCCAATGACTTAGTCAATAGGATTCACTTCATTGATATATAGTCATGACATCTATCATATGCTTAATTAACGGCAGGAAAATAACGTTAAGTCCTAGTGTTACTCGTTAACATGCTACCAAACGAAACGACGTGATAACTACTGATGTGATCAAATACTTTAAACGTTGAGTACAATAGACAACAAAACAAAAACTAGTTATATTTGTGAACCATACCCACATTGACATTTTAACATAACACTGAGAACTACTGAATATCAAGAAACCCGAAAGATCAAATTTACTGAAGGTCTGACTTACATTTTACAGTTCATTTCTAATTCAACATAGAATCGAATTTCACTTTCAAATGTTAGTAGAAACTCAATTACTTTCACACATTTTCATATAAAACCATTTAATATAGTGAAGAGTTCTTCAACGATATTTAACCATCTCAGATAATCATTTCATAGTGCATACCCTAATGTACCTATGAATTAAAACCAAATAGAAATTCACTTGGTTTTGTTTCTTTGAATCTTCTCATTGGTATTTAGGACGGTCATTGATCAGTCTCTTATTGGCATATATGTATCCTGTGAGTATTGCCTCGATTTTGCCTTAATTCACAAGTATTCTATGCAAAAATCGATAGTGGCTACCAGTGGAATCCAGAACGCGCGTTTCGTCTTATCTGTGATTCGTCAGCTGAATGTACTTGATGGTTACTCTGGGACTCGAACTCAGCACTGTTCGTTTCAAACATCATCGCGTTTTTCACTTAACTACTGAGTTTTTTTCCAATTTAAACCTACATTTAAGCTTCTATACTCATTATCAGTTAGTTTGTGATTAAATTAATTTGTAAATGAATAAATTTTGTACATAGTAACTAAGTGAATAGTAAAACTAACGTTACATGTTCAACGTCATTTATTCAGCTGTTGTTTTTTTCTAATGGTGTATCAATTACATAGACTTATATTTCTTAAAAGTATACCTTAAATAATGTAACATTTTGTATATTAATTGTTTATGTATACAAACATAGTAAAAAATACTGATGATATATCCTAGCGAATTCAATAAAAAAACAAATGGAGAACTTTTTATCCCTAGATAATTGAATTTATCTATACATTCCTATGTCTGTCAGAAAGGGTTTTGTGGAGATTTTAGAAATTCCCCTGATTGAAATCATAAGTCAATTGAAGCTAGATCACCATGGAAAACCTGAAATCACTGGATGGTCGTTTTGTCCTAGTATGAGACTCCTCAGCAATGTGCATCTACGATCCCGCACCCTGCGAGATTCGAACCCAGGACCTATTAGGCGACATAGGAACAAAAATCTAGCCAACGGAAGATACAATCAAAACAAAAAAAGTAAACAATAACAGGTTGAATGTCAACCATAACCAATCAATATCGAGGTCTATAAGGACAAGTTGTGAACCATATGTGGAGAAATTTTGAACATTTCATTTCTACTTGAAGTTTGTACTGATGATATCGTTCAGAAGAGAACGATGAAAACTCTACAACCAAATTATCCAGCTCAGAGGACAAAAACTCTATAAAAATTATCTACCTGAGCTACAAGTCTTCTTCATTGATTGAAATTAAATGATGATTGACTTATCTCATAGAATAATTGGTTAATTTATCAATGATCTACTAAGTAAAAATCGATATCCATCGAATCTGCTAATCAAAAATTATGACTACGATCAGATTGAATGTGAAATCACTGAGTGTACCGAGAAAAACTTCATTCATGAATTTATAATCTAAAAGTGTATACCTAATGAAATTTACGGCATGACACATGGCATAGGTGATACAACAAACACTTAATGCAACAAGATTATGTTATTGTTTATTAGGTCAGTTCAAATACTACTGTTGAGACTATTATATTGGCCTTACAGCTAGAAAATATTTTATCCTAGTCCTGAACTTCATATTTATTTGCAAAGATGGATGGTGGCTAGCAGTGGAATCCCGGACGCGTGTTTTGTCCTATTTTGAACTCGTCAGCTGGATGCACCTGCACCTTAAAGATCCTATCTATGTGAATTTAGACTTCATCTAATTACACAAGCAAGTAGCTGCCAGGACTCAGTAGCTAAGTGAATAACGTGATAGCATTTAAAGTGAACGGTAGTGGGCTCGAGTTCTTGAGTGAATATCAACTCTGAGATGCAAGTAAATCCAGCTGACGAGTCCAAAATAGGACGAAACGTGCTTTCATGTATTCCACCGCTAGCCACTATTCATATTTCTCATAATGCTTGTGAATTATGATAATTTCAAGGTAATACGTACAGTATGCACGTATATCAATAAGAGACTGCAGTCCTAAACATCAATGAGAAGATTCAAACAATCAATACCAAGTGAATTCATATTTATTTCAATAGTTGAGGTCATGAGTCAATTGTAGCTAAACTACCATGAAAAACCTGGAGGCACTAGAGTTCTAGTGAGAAGCAGTGACCAGTGGAGTTACACCGGGTCAGTTGTGAGGTAGTAACTCGCTGATAACAATGGTGAATGTGTCGCCCAATTTCGTGGATTAGTTTAAGTTAGACATTAACACCGTTAGATGACGGGTCAGTGGTCTATTGGTTAAGCGTCTGGCACGGAACTGGTAGGTCCTGGGTTCAGATCCCGCGAGGCGTGGTCATGGGTGAGCACTGCTGAGGAGTCCCACAATAGGACGAAACG